CAGCCTCAGTCCTGGATCTACAGCCTCAGGTCGGTTCTATACAGCCTCAGTCCTGGGTCTACAGCTCAGCCATGGGTCTAAAACCTCAGTCCTGGGTCTAAAGCCTCAGCCTTCAGTCCTGGGTCTACAGCCTCAGTCCTGGGTTACAGCCCTCAGTCTGGATCTACAGCCTCAGTCCTGGGTGTAGAGCTCCGTCCTTGGTCTTTCAGCCTCAATCCTGGGTAGAGCCTCAGTCCTAGGTGTTACAGGCTCAATCCTGGGTCTACAACCTCAGCCTGGGTCTATAGCCTCATTCCTTTCTACATCCTCATTCCTGTGTCTACAGGCTCAGTCCAGTGTCTACAAACCTCAGCCCTGGGTCTATAGCCTAGTCCCTGGGGTCTATACCTCCGCCCCTGGGTCTCCAGCCTCAGTCCAGGGTCACAGCCCCTCAGTCCTGGGTTCCTAACCCCCTCAGCCCCTGGGTCTACAGCCTCAGTCTGGGTTTACAGCCTCAGTCAATCAATTCAATCAATCAATCACCGTATAATTATAGAGCGCGTTTCTACACCAAGGGCAACGCAAAGCGGCCTCACAACCCATATAACATCATGCATAAATCATACAAACATTAGAATTTAATGTAAAAACATTAAAAAGACAGATTAATGAAGCACAAGATATATAAAATCACACATGTAGTTAACAACCGAAAAACATAAAAATCACACAGGGATTACATCATAAATAATCATAATATCATAGCGCCATTAAAAGGATTAAAAGATAAAAACAAATATAATAATCATTCAATTGTATGCATCAGTAATAAGAATGTTTCAGTTCAAGTGTTTAAAAACTTGCTAGAGTAGACGCCTGTCTCACACTTCGGGAAGAAAGGACGGTTTCCAGACTCTAGCTGCTATGAATCTGAACGCAGCTCACCAGTCTATTTCCGACTCCTTGGCACAAAGTCAGTCCCCCCCTGTGCTCCTTCAGAGCCCGGTTGGTTCAATGGCACCATACATGTCGGGCAGTACCTGGTGCGAGGCCATGAGAGACTTGTACACAAGGTAAAGCTACTTTAAAATCTATCTTTGGAAGCCTACAGGAAGCCATGTCGCAGTGCCCTGGAGGACCGGATCTAATGTGGGGTCGTACTTCTGGTTCTAGTAGGACTCGAGCCTGCAGCATTTTGGTGTACTGCAGCGGTTTTACCAGCTTGTTTATGCAGAGACCTTGTGGTAACAAGCATTGCAGTAGGTCCAATCGACCTGGAGACAAAGCGTGGATAAGATTCTCCAATGTCTTGCTGTAGGACACAATGTTCCTAATTTTAGCAAGTTTCTTAGGTGCGTAGTAGTAAGCTGTATGAATGGTCACAGATGATATGTGGCTATTGAAATTTAAGTCTGAGTCCATTATTACTCCTAGATTTCTGACCTGCTGTGGAGGGTTTAGGGGAGAGAGACTGGTGGTGGCAGATAACGCTCTCTCTTTGTTTTTTGAGGTCCGAAAACAATAATTTTCAGTTTTTTTCTGTAGTTGAGCTGGAAGAAGAAAGTTATTTTGCATCCAATCTCTGATTTGTTGGATACAGTGATAGTGAGCGAGTCAACTGGTCCTTGTTCTCCTGATGGGTTGGGCTGTCAGCGGGGACACATAGACCTGAGTATCGTCAGCCTAATTGTGGATAGGGACACGTTATTACTGTGTATTAAACCTAACCAGAGCAGCATGTAAATATTAAATAGGAGAAGGCCCAGGATTGATCCCTGTGGCACTCCGCCAGGTTAGGGCCAGTTGCGTCTGAGATTTTTCCAGTTTCGATCTCACAAAATACTTTCTGTCCTGTAGGTTAGGATATAAACCAGCTTAGGCTGTTCCAGAAACACCAACCCAGTCCTCAAGTCTTTGAATGTGCGAGACTTGATCGTCAGGGTCGAACGCAGCACTTAAATCTAACGGATAATGGGTACTGAGACTTTTCCTGCGTCAGTGTTAAGTCTGATATTCATTTGTTACCTTCATAGAGCGGTCTCTGTAACTGCTGGGTGGGACTGGTTGGGGTCTAAACCAGACTGGAAACCATATCAAAAGAGTGATTGATTATTAAAATTCTGTGATAGTTGTTGTTGCTGTTGACCCAGCAGTCCTGGGTCTACAGCCTCAGTCTGGGTTTACAGGCTCAGTCCTGGATTTTACAGCCTCAGTCTGGGTTACAACCTCCAGTCTGGGTTCTACAGGCTCAGTCCTGGGTATACAGCCAGGCCTGGGTTAAAGCATAAGTCCTGGGTCTACCGGCTCAGGCATGGGCTACTGCCTCAGTCCTGGGTCTACAGCCTCAATCCTGGGTTAGAGCCGCAGTCATGGGTTATACAGCCTCAGTCCGGGGTTACAAGCCTAAGTCCTGGGTCTACAGCCCTCAGTTGGGTCTAGCAGCCTCAGTACTGGTCTACAGCCTCAGTCCTGGGTCTTGAGCCTCAGTCCTGGGTTACAGCCTCAAATCCTGGGTTCTAGTGCCTCTAGTACTGGGTATAACAGGCTCAGTCCTGGTCTTACGCCTCAGTCCTGGGTCTACAGCCTCGTCCTGGGATAAGCCTCAGTCCTGGATCTACAGCTCAGTCCTGCGGTCTTACAGGCATCCGTTGGGTCTACAACCTCAGCCTGGGTTTCTTATAGCCCTCATGTCCTGGGTCTAACAGCCTCAGTCCTGGGTTCTACAGGCTAGTCCTGGGATACAGCCCTCAGTCCTGGGTCTACAGCCTCAGTCTGGGTGTCTACAGGCTCAGTCCTGGGCATACAGCCTCAGTCCTGGGGTCCTACAGTCTCGGTCCTGGGTCTCACACAGCTCTCAGTCTGTGCCCACACCTCAATCCTGGGGTCTAGACGCCTCATTCCTGGGTATACAGCTCTGTCTGGGTCTACAGGCCTCAGTCGGGGTCTACAGCTCAGTCCTGGTCTACTGGCTCAGTCCAGGGATACAGCCTCAGTCCTGGGGTCTACAGCCTCAGCCCTGGGTCCTAAAAACCTCAGTCTGGGTCTATTGCCTCAGTCTGGGTCTACAGCCTCAGTCCTGGGTCCACCAGCCTCAATTCCTGGGTCCACAGCCTCAGTCCCTGGTGTCTACAGACTCAGTCCTGGGATGACAGCCTCAGGTTTTTTTTTTTCCTGGAATCTACAAGCCCCTCAGTCCTGCGGTCTACAGCTCTCAGTCCTGGGGTCTACAGCATCAGCCATGGGTCTAAAACCTCAGTCCTTGGGTCTTAATGCCTCAGCCTGGTTCTATAGCCTCAGTCTGGGTCTACAGCCCTCAGTCCTGGGTCTACAGCCTCAGTCCTGGATCTACAGCCTCAGTCCTGGGATTGTTGAGCCTCAGTCCTGGGTCTTCCGCCGTCAATCTGGGTCTAGAGCCTCAGTCCTAGGTCTACAGCTCATTCCTGGGTCTACAACCTCAGCCCTGGGTCTCTATAGCCTCAGTCCTGGGGCCTACGAGCCTCAGTCCTGGGTCTACAAGGCTCGTCAGTCCTGGTTCTACAACCTCAGCCTGGGTTTCTTTAATTTTAGGGGGGGGGCCCTTTTCAGTCTGGGTCTACAACCTCTAGCCGTGGGTCTACATGCCTCTGTCCTGGGTCTAAGCTCAGTCCTGGCGTCTACAACTCAGCCCTGGGTCTACAGCCTCAGTCCTGGGTCTACAGCCTCAGTCAATCAATCAATCAATCAATCAACGTTTATTTATAGAGCGCCTTTCCTACACAAGGCACGCAAAAGCGCCTCACACCCATATCAACACTCCATGCATAAATCATCAAACATTAGAATTTTAAGTAAACATAAAAGAAGACATGATATTAAGAGCACAAGATATAATAAAATCACTACAAGTAGTTAAAAACCGTAAAAACATTAAAATCACACAAGGGATTTACAATCATAAATAATCATAAATAATCATAGCGCTTTTAAAAAGATTAAAGATAAAAACAAATATAAATTCATTCTACTTGTCATGCACAGCTAAAAAGAATGTTTTCAGTTCAGTTTTAAAAAACTCGAATAGGAGTAGACGCCTGTCTCACACTCTCGGGAAGACGGTTTCCAGACTCTTGCTGCATGAATCTGAAACGCTGCCCTCCCATGTCTAGTTCCGACTCTTGGCACTAAGTCCAGTCCCTGTGCTCCTCACGAGCCCGAGTTGGTTCATATGGCCACCAAACATGTCGCGGATGTACCCTGGTGGCCGAGGCCACAGGAGAGACTCTTTGTTACACAAGTTAAAGCTACTTTAAAATCTATTCTCTGAGCCACCGGAAGCCAGTGCAGAGACTGAGGACCGGGCTAATGAGGGTCGTATCTTCCTTGGTTCTAGTCAGGACTCGAAGTGGCAGCATTTTGGATGTACTGCAGCAGTGTTTTACCGCTTGTTTAGAGAGACCTGTGAACAAGCCATTGCAGTAGTCCAAATCGACTGGAGACAACATGCGCTGGATAAGAATCCCAAGTCTGCTTTCGACACAATGTTTCCTAATTTTAGCACATGTTTCTTAGGTGGAAGTAAGCTCGATGATGTCACAGATGATATGTGGCTATTTGAAATTTAAGTCTGAGTACATTATTACTCCTAGATTTCTGACCTGAGTTGAGGGTTTTAGGGTGGAGAGAGACTGGACGGTGGCAGATAACGCTCTCTCTTTGATTTTTGAGGTCGAAAACAATAATTTCAGTTTTTTCTGTGTTTAGCTGGAGAAAGTTATTTTGCATTCCAATCACTGATTTGTTGGATACAGTGAAGGAGCGCCTAGTCCACTTGTCATGTTTCTCCTTTGCTGTCAGGGACACGAGAACATAGAAACCTGAGTATCGTCAGCATAACCCAAAGCTTCTCCTCTCCTTCTTCAAACACAAAGTAACCAAAATATTATATTGAATAACAGCAGCTGTGTTTTGTGTCTCTAAAGGGCCTGCCTGGGTTGGACAAACTGGGGGCCGCGCACAGAGGGATCCTGGCCGCACACAGCCCCATGAGTCCCATGAGTCCCGAGGGTTTCAAACTCATGCACCGCCACAGGTCTGACTGCCCTCTGTGCCCAACATCATCGTATTTATCTGCATTCTAAATCGATCCTAATGAGAAACCTTCTGAAACACATTTAACTCCAGGAAATGGTTTATATGAGGGTGAATCTCTGGCACTCTTTAACTATCTACAATAACATCTGGGGCGGGGTCTTGGAGGGGATTTTTCTTTGATAAATATGTCTACAATGTTGCCTTTACCCAACTAACTACACATACTGCATACTACATACACTACGTACATATCAATACGGAAATCATAACTTACAGTGAATCTAAAACAATTATTGTACATAACATTTATAATAACATTTGCTTTCAACCGATTGAACATAGACTTTTCCTGCTATTTCCATTTCCATTGTCACGGCTCTAAACATTTTTCTCTCCTGCGCTTTTTCTACTCTTGCTTCTTCGTGTAATTCTTTTTCACCTTTCCCGATCACCATATCACCCACACTCACGCACGTTTTGGATATTTTGTTTTGGATATTTGTTTTCTATCCTCCCCCCCACTGCTATAATAACCCCTCCTCATCCTCCTTCCAAACTGCCAAACCCTAATAAAACCCGTGTTACCCACAATGCCCTGCACTTGCACCTGCTTGACTTGTTGAAACCAAAGTCCCATAGCCGTTCTGACCCCAGTGCGATCCTCGTCCTCTCTCTCTTCTCACGCCTCCAGTGAAACCAGCGGCACCATGGGAAACCTGCTGATCCTGGCCGACGGGATGGTGGTGGAGCATCCAGAGGACTTCTACAGGATGCAGGTATGTGAGAAGAAAAGCAGAAACATGTAAATATCTGAGCTGAAATGAGCAAACTGACTGTAAATGTGATGTACCAGTGGTTATAGTTGTGGATTTGTTTTAAAATCTCAGTATTTCACCCTGGAGCCAGCTCAGCTACACCTACACTTTACCCTAGTGCAATAAAATATTCGTCCGTGCAGCACAGTGTGGAAGAGTGGTTAGCGCTCACAGCAAGAAGGTCCCGGATTCCATTCCACCTCCAGGCTTTTCTGTGTGTACAAAAGGTGTGGATGTTAATGAGTGAGTGGAAGGGATGGTGATGCCCGGAGGCTTTAAAGATATACTGTTTCCAACTTGTTCTTTGTTTGGTCTGACAAAGGTTTGGCGTTTATTATGACCATAGATGATCATCAAATCTAACCTTTGCTAAATTACCTTTTCCTAACCCCAACTTGAACCTGATTGTAACTGTTAATTACAAATTCAAAGAAAGACTATTCAACAACAAACATTGTCTCTTTGCCCCGTACAAAAAACTGAGATTTTGGGAAAGTGCATCAGTTGTACCAAAAAAGCAAAATCTACTTTGACCATGTTTTGTCTTTTCATTTATTCAGAAGGATATCCGAGAGTTTTCCATGTCCATGTATGTTTCTGTTATCTTTAGTCTCGTGAATTCAATACGCCATTCCTCCGACAAACCCTGTTAGTTTCATCCATGTAAATAAAGTTTGTTCATTCTTTTACGATGCAAAAATGTGTTCCAGGCCAGCCCCTCCTCCTCCAGCCTGAGCTCCACCCACTCGGCTCCTCCACAGATGATTCACTCGGCCCCTTCCACCATCCGGAGTAAGTGCAGCCACAGGCCTCTCTCATGCTCTTTCCATGTTCTTTAAACGCTTCTTAATCCTGCTGTGGTTTTCTGTTTGCAGTCAGCTCTCCGTCTCTCCCGGAAAAATACAGACACAACAGGGAGATGCTGATGCTGCTGCCCCCGACCAGAGACCGCCCCAGCAGCGCCATGTACCCCAACATCACAGAGAACGGACAGGTACAGGACACAGCTCCATCGCTCCCAGGAGAGAAGCGTCTTTCAAATCCAATTGTAAAAGTTAGATTAGATGGTCGTCGCATGCAAAATCTAGAAATTAGAATAATTCTAGATATTGGTCTACAACAGGCATGTCAAATTCAGGCTCAAGGGCCAAATCCGGCCTGCGAAACAATTTAGTGGCCCCTGCAATGATTTTTTATTATCTTTATCACAGTACAGTAACTTATACTAATACTAATACTAAAGGTACATAAGATAATTTTCTACTTCCGTGTGGATCATCAAGACTCTTGGTCCTCCTAATGGTCAACCATTCTGGTGATACGAGCTCGTCCAACAAGACAAGAGTTCTCTCCTAAGATTTGGGAAACCTTTAATAAATAATATTATTATTAGAAGTAAGAGAGTTTGGATTCATGTGTTTCAGCTGCCCAACCTCCAGAGGGCGTTATTCCATCAGGTGATCGGGCCGTGCAAACCCTGCAGTGACCCCAACCTCTCTGTGGCAGACAAAGGTAAAGTGTGACAGGCTGAACTCACCTCGTGTTTACAAAGTACTTTACTAATAATACTTCTTATTGTCAGTACTAACAGCTCCCAGCAGCTGGAGTCTGGACAGCGGCAGCAGAGACCCCCTCCCCTTCCTGTCCGCACATGTGGGCAGTGTGCTGGCTCCACCCGTCCCACCGCGCAACCTGCCCCATGGTAACAACTAACGCTTTTTGGTTTATTTGCTTTCATTCGGTTCTTGGATTAACTGTTCCACAAAAGCATCATAGTCAAGACACTAGATTCAAATGTTATCAAAGTAGCTTTTCCCAGAGCACTGGTTGAAACAATATTAGCTTTTATTCTGGCGCTACCTGCATGTGATAACCTAATCCTATCAGACCTTTGAAGCAAAGCAGGGTAGACCATGGTTAGTACAGCGATGGGAGACCTCTGGGAATACCATGCTGCCAAATTGGGGTGGCTGTAGCTTTAAGGTGCCATACTTTTGTTGTGTCCTTAGGCAAGACACTTCACCCACATTGCCTAGAATGAGTCTGGTGTGTGTGTGTGTGTGTGTGTGTGTGTGTGTGTGTGTGTGTGTGTGTGTGTGTGATTGGCTGGTGGTGGTCAAACAGGCAGATGGCACATATTGGATGCCTAGTGAGCCCCAGGGCAACTGTGGCTATAGTACTTTATCACCACCGTGTATGGCATGAAAGAATTGTACCATGTGACGGGTCTTTGAGATTCCACAAAAGCACTCTAAAAAATTATTATCATTATGATTTTAACGATATGTAATTCGTACAATATACTTTTTGCAGTATTTGGAATAATTGATGGTGGCTCGTTGTACAGGTCGACAGCACAGACTAAAACATCTCAATCACGTTTTTAGTTGCACCACGTTTGAAAGGCCGCGATCCCTCCACCCTCCCCTTCTCCCCCTCCACCTCCCTCACTCTTCTGCTCTTCTCTGGGCCACTCTCAGTCAGTCCTGCTGTGTCTCCCCCTGTAGGCCAACACCTGTCGATGCACTTTGATGCTTTCCACCACCATCACCAGAGCAGCGAGCTCCCTCCAGCTCTCCCCGCGCGCTCCTTAAGAAAGGTACCCTGCTCTTCCTCTCCTGCTCCTCTGCCTCGACCCGTCTTGTCTGTCCGTGAGTGGATGTATGTGCACTTATCTCTGGGGAATTCGATGTCTTTGTAGTTTGTTCACGTTTCTTTTCAAAGGGCCGTCTTGTAAGTGTTATGCCGCTCGCTTGTCTCTGCAAAGATTAAAACAATATTTCAAAATGATCTAATTTAGCTTGACACTAAACTAGACTCCTGACAAGATGAAATGGTTCAAACTATTAGACCCATTTCATTTGTAGAGTCTCTGCATTCTGAATGTCTGTGCTTGTACCTCATAATTACAAAGGGATTGCCATTCATTTCTCCGTGCCACTTATGTTAATTTTTCAACTCATCTTCTGTATGGTATCTGTAAATATATCATACATATTTACCACAGGTCTTTTCCCATTTCTTAACCATTTGGGTGCCAGAGGTTAGATGTGAAATGGAGGAGCCCTGAGACTGTATAAGAGGGAGACATATATATAACAGAAATGTGTGAAAGGTTTGTGGGAAACCAGGTAACTGTATAGAAGGAATTTTAACTAGGACAATGACTATGTGCATGAACTTTTAACGCCCTCCCACTTCTGCCACCCCCCTCCCTAACCCCATGCCTTTAGAAACCCATCATCTGACTCTTATGGATCAATGGCTCTATGTGTTTTAAGATTGCATTTCTTGAACTGTTTGATTCTCTGATCTGTGTTTTGATTTACGGTTATACAAAAAAAGTTATTGAATTGTAGTGAATCATCTAACATAGCAGTTATACACACACTATTCTAATCTCTCTCTCTTACCCTGTGTCCAGTCGCCTCTGCACCCTATACCTGCCTCGCCCACCAGTCCGCAGTCCGTCCTGGATGGCAGTAACTCCACGCTGTCCGGTAGTGCCAGCTCCGGCGTCTCGTCCCTGAGCGAGAGCAACTTCGGGGGCACTTTGGACCCCTCAGCCAGTCGCACGGATACTCTGGAGTCGGCCCCCAGCAGCCAGGCCTGGACCACGGACCAGGAAGACTTGGACTCGCTCTACCAGCCCGTCAGGTACAGCGCCTCCGAGCCTGCGGTGACGGACGGGGACAAGCCGCAGCCATGTCGCAGCCTGTCCGCCCCGGGAACAGTGACCCCTCCCCACCCTGGGATCCACATCATCCCCCCCGGAGCGCTGGGTCAGGACATAATGCACCCGCCGCAGCAGCACGTTTACTACCAACAGCTGCATTTCTCGCACTACATCCCCCACAATCCCCCTCTCTACAGTCTGCACGAGCCGCCCGCGCTGCCACCCAAGCCCTACGTCAGGGAGGGCTGCATACCTGAAGAGGAGGGGCCCCAGTCTACGCCCCTGACCGTGCCTCGCCCAATGCCGCGCAAGATCTCACAGCCGATCATTGCGGCCACCAAGGAGGAGCAGGCGAAGGTGGCCTGGGAGCACGGGGTGAGGCACGAGTAGACGGGGTTGGAGAGAGCGTGTGTTAGCGGGACAGTCCCATTCAGCTCACGTCTACACGACCGGGACAGGCCTCTGCTCCGGACTGCATCCAAATACTCACAGCTTTCCCCTATTTTTGTTGTCTAGTCTTTCCAAGGACTCGCGTTGTGTGAAATCAATGGTTTGGCGTAAATGTGGGGGTGTAATAATGTGGGGTAAATGTGGGGAATGATTATGTTTGACTAAATTCAAATAATCTCAGTCAGAACAAAGATAACTGGATATTTCTTTAGTTAACCTAAATTTATCCGTTATGAATTATTGACTGGGTTCCATTTTAAAGATCATTCTTGCTAACTTATGGTTTATCATATAGGCACCCTACTCCTAAAAAGAACTAAATTTAACGTCTTATTACAATGCCTGCCATATGTATTTACTTTAATGCTACAAACGACAACTATCATTTACTAATTTTACAGTAATACTTTGTGCCCCATATTCTGCTTTTGCCCCTCAAACATTCCATGGCCACAATGCTCCTGAAAATGGGTTAGAAAAATACAACATTGAACTATATTAAATGTGAATTAAAAATACTATTTGGGTTACCATTTTGAGTACAGTAGCTTTTTTTCCATTCCTAGATTTTTGTGATATATGGAACCCTAAATCATCAGGCAAAACAAAACACATGTGAACAGTGAGTTCACGATAAAACACATCCAAAATTGTATGTAAAAGAAGAAAAAAATTGATGTTGATGTTTAATGGATTTCAGTCCAAAAAGTGCATTGTTTTAAATAGTGTATGGTTATTTTGGGGCCAGACGAGCAAGTTTTTACATCATTTTCATTTAAACAGCAGGGGTTTTTTGTTTCGTTTTGCACATTGTATGAAACCTCTGCCCCCTTGTGGTCACAAAGGGAACACCACTCATCTCCACAGACAACTCTTTCATCACATCTATGTAATTATCTAGTGGCTATATTCATATTTCCATGATTTAACCTCTACAGAACACCAAATCCTAGTCATATATTTATTTTTAAATCACAGAAACATTATAAATACATGGAATTTATGGAAAATGGACCTGAAATGAAATTGTAAATATACACATTTTTACGCACAACCTTGTTCTTCCACTAAAATCACTATATTAAAACAAGCCATGACTCGCACTTTTCAGATTTGTCGAAAAACAAAAAGATAATATTTATATTTCCAAACACAATTTCTGTACATTAATAAGCATTATATAGCCTTATAAGAATACATATATTTAACCCACATATTTTGAAAGAAAGCTGTAGAAATATGCAAGAGCTTTTGGGCCCGGAGACGCTGCTACAAGATTTTGATGGACTTGAAAAAGAAATGGACGATGAACATTAGGTTTATAGAGAATTTTATTCACTGTACACTTTTATAGAAATTATTTTATAACATGTTTTTGTACGCATGTATTTTGATGCAGAGACTTCATGCACAAAGTAACAGGACAATGCATGGTGGTGACTGGTGGGCGGTTTCAATGGGTTTTCAATGTTTGATTTAGCCACCGGTAAATCGTGCTAATATTAGATTTGAGGAGTAAACAACAATGTGTCAAACATGTTTACAATTGGAAAAATATTTGTAAGTATTATCCGATGGCTATACATTTTTATATGCATTTTGAGTTGCAGTACTCATTGTTAATAGATTTTTAAGCAAGTGTTGAAATGTTTTTTTTTTCCAGTTTATTAAGTCATGTGAATTAAGTCATGTGAATTAACAAAATCAGTATCTAACTCACCCAACTACTGACATGTTTTTAGTTTGTATTTGTGGTCCCTGTTGTAACAATGTCACAATTAAGTTTATAATTTATACAATTTGATTTTCTTTATTGACACAAACTAAAACCATGCCTGGAACTAACGTGTGTCTCCCAAAACAATGAGAGAAAGCTGTCAAAAATATAAATCATGTTGCATTTATTAACAAAGCATTTTAGATCCATGTTGCCTCAAAATCAAAAAACATTTCATTTTTAAATCAGTTCTATCAGTTGGCATTCACACTTTTAGCTTTTTTACCGCATTATTACATTAGCATTACACAATAAACATGTCCAATCCATTAAATGATTAAAAAAAACAATATTCACAGAGAAACACTTTTATGATATATTCTCGATATTAAGTATTGTTAGACTAATGATTTATCCATATTAAAAGCAGGTGAACAGAATATCCCCATACATTTGCCAGGCTCTATATTAACATGCCAGTTTTTTGTATAATTTTGAAGGATAAATATGATTGAAGTTGTTAGACACATGTACAGAACTACACCATGGTTTAAACAGAAACATAATAAAGTAATGCATACTTGAACACAACCGTAAAATGTATTTATGTTCTGATGATTATTTGTATTTTTGCCTAAACATGATGGATTTCTTCAGGGAAGCTGCTGCACATTTAGAATACTGTACCTGTATTTTGCATTGGACCTGGATAACGATGACAACATGTACAAAGTAACTTTGTGTTGCATGAGTCACACTGTAACATGTACAACAGTAGATCATGTAAATATCACCTTTACTACTCACTAAACTCATGTGCTGTGGATTCTATTGTAATGAACATTAATAAAATGTCAGAATTTATTGACTTTGACTGAAAACCATATTCAGAAACCAAAAAATCTAGTATGTTGAATGAGAAATTGCGAACAAATTGCTCCTTTAAAAAGGTCCTATACGCTTTTCTTCATGTTTCGCAGTCAATCCTATACACGTGTGATAATAATGTGTGCGATACACCATACAACACTCAAAACTTGTGAGATTATAGCCATCTCTTTTATCAATCAATCAATCTTTATAGAGCGCTCTTTCTACTCAGGGCAACACAAAGCTCCTCACAGTCCACACCACACAAGGCACAAATAATCACCATTAAAAATAAAGTTAAAATCACACAAGTAATTAAAAACATTAAAATCACACAAAGAGTTACAATAATAGGTGTTCCGGGCACGTCCCACCGGGAGGAGGCCCCGGGGAAGACCCAGGACACGCTGGAGGGACTATGTCTCTCAGCTGGCCTGGGAACGCCTTGAGGTCCCCCCGGACGAGCTGGAGGAAGTGTGTGTGGATAGGGAAGTCTGGGCGTCTCTGCTTAGACTGCTGCCCAGGCGACAAAGCAATGGATGAAGCGGAAGAAAACGGATGGATGGATGGATGGAGTTACAATAATAAATAACAAGGTGTGTTAAAAAGATAAAATTCTTCAGTTGTATGCACAGGAAAAAAGAAAAGTCTTTAACCTGGATTTGAACAGCGACAGAGAGGCAGCCAGTCTCACATCCTCAGGAAGACTGTTCCAGACCTTAGCTGCATAAATCTGAAAAGCAGCCTCCACATGTTTAGTTCTGACTCTGGGCACTAACAGGAGTCCTGTCCCTGTGCTCCTCAGAGTCCGGACTGGTTCATATGGGACTAGCATGTCATGGATGTACTTTGGTGCGAGGCCATGGAGAGACTTGTACACAAGCAGAGCTGTTTTAAAGTCTATTCTCTGAGCCACAGGAAGCCAGTGCAGAGACCTGAGAACTGGACTAATGTGGTCGTACTTCCTGGTTCTAGTCAGGACTCGAGCTGCTGCATTTTGAATGTACTGCAGCTGTTTTACAGCCTGTTTTGAGATACCTGTGAGCAGGCCAATGCAGTAATCTAGCCTGCTGGAGACAAAAGAATGGATAAGAATCTCCAGATCTGCTTTGGACACTATATTTTTAATTTTGGCAATTTTTGGCACCGGTACTTAGTCATTTCCGCTTTCTTCCCCTTCAGGGCAAATAGTGCGTGATCCTAACACTTATAGCCGGACCCGGGAGCCGGACCCGGGGAGCCGGACCCGGGAGCCGGACCCGGGGAGCCGGACCCGGGAGCCGGACCCGGGGAGCCGGACCCGGGGAGCCGGACCCGGGGAGCCGGACCCGGGGAGCCGGACCCGGGGAGCCGGACCCGGGGAGCCGGACCCGGGGAGCCGGACCCGGGAGCCGGACCCGGGCTCCCGCCGGCTTTTTTATTAGGCCGAGCCAATACGAAGTATTGGGGAGGCCTATTGTTATTCACCGGTTTCATATTATAATACTTCTTTTTTTTCCGCAACTTCAATTCGATTTTTGACCCTGAAGACATGCACGAAAGTCTGCACATGGGGGGTCTAAAACGACCGGTTCGGCGAAAAATTTGATAAAATGAACGTTTCCAGATTGTCCGACGCTCGCCGACTCTATAACGCCCCCTAGAAATTTCATTTTTTTGACCCTCTGGGGATTTTTTTTCAAATTTTGGAGTAGGTACACGAAATTCGGATGAGTGATAGATCTCTATGAGACGAGCATAAAAGCCGTTCTAAGCACATGTCTGGGACCAACAGGAAGTCGGCCATGAGGGGCCGAAGTTTCGCCACTAATTAGACTTTTCATTTATAAATTTGAACTAGTCCCTGGTTTTTCATCACACAGAGTTCTACCACGTCATTTCCTAATCTGGACGGATTGAAGTTATATAATCATCAAAAAAAAGTTAGAAAATCTTCACCGTTTTCGTCCCTCGCCATGGCGAATAAGGCCTTCGTTTTGGCCATTTTCGCTGAGCCCTGAGGGCCACAGGCTCAGACCTACAGAGCTGAGACTCACATCAATAATATTAGGTCATGGCCTGAACGCAATGACACTAAAATCATTCGCCGGAAAGTCGGAAAGTAATAGGGCACTAGTGCTCGGATCGGCCCGAAAATCGCTGAGTGTATTCTCTGGACCGAGACGAGCAAAACATTACATTATGCAAAAGTTGTACGTCCCACACCTGACCACTGGGGGCGCCGTAAAGTGAATAAATGAGCTTTTTGGGGCAAAATCTTTGTCCGATGAGGCTAAAAATGAATTCAGTAATACAGCGTATGACCCTAACACAACGATATGCAACACACAACTGTGAGTGCAACAGCGCCACCTACACGCAGTTCAATGTGTTGCATTTTTTGCTTCGTACTAGTCCCTGGATTTTCATCGCACAGACTTCTACCATGTCATTTCTCCATCTGGACGGATTGAAGTTATGTAATCATCGCATAAAAGTTAGAATTTTGTTATCGTTTTCATGCGAGGTAGTGGGGAATTTCTCCATGTTTGATGCTCTCCTGACCACAGGCTCAGACCTACAGAGCTGAAACTCACATCACTAACAGTTGGTAATGACCTGAGAGTAATGGTGTGAAAACACACACCTAATATGACTCTACAGCGCCACCTATGGAAGGCTTCTGACCTAAACTTTTCCGATCTTCACCAAAGTTGCAAAATCAAATCTTTACATCTGTACGAGCAAAATACTACTCTACGTAGAGGGTGCATGTCCCGGAGGTGACCACTAGGGACGCACTTTATCATATAAATTAGCTTTTATATACGTAATCCTGGTCAGATCGGGCTGCCAATTCGTCGCCGTGACGCTTGTGGGACTGGCGCCCAGGAGGCGGTCGCAAGAGGGGCGAGGCCTTTCATCGCCGCTTGCGGCTTTAATAAGGCCGAGCCAATACGAAGTATTGGGGAGGCCTATACATAGTTCCCACAGACCAATGAATGTCACATGACCTCCTCGGAGACGCCATCTTTGATGGCACGCTGCTGTGTTTGTGCATTCCATTAAACAGAAGAATGAGAATAAATGTAGATATTCAAACGCAAATTGGGAAAAAAGGGCAACTTTTGAGCAAATAATTGTATATTAATACAATGGCACCACAGTTTAACGTGCTACGGACATGTTTTACATATTTGATCAAATTATGCAGCAAAAATTAACAAGCAATGCAAACATTTCTCAAAAACTTTAGATTTAATACCAGTTGGAGCTCCATTTAATTATTTTAATTATATTAACAATTAATTGAATTAATGCTAATGCCACACGGACACTCTGGATTGCTGTTATTGTTTATTTCCGCGTTTTTGACCGTATGTTTTGGTGAATGGTTGGCAACTGATTTTTCCAGGCGTAAAGAGCAGTTTATTTTATGACACAGATCTTTTTACAGAAGCAATGCTGTTTGTGAACATTGTTTTAGCCCACCATAGAACTATTATTATCTATTTAATACATTTACGTTGCCCTCGAGAGCCTCGGACGCGACACCGATCCTCCTCATAATAAAGTAATCTAAATAATGAAACTCTCAAGTTACCAGATATCAGCATACACAAGTTAGTACTGAGTAAATTACGTCTGTCAACACATTATAAGATACGATACGCACCTGACACAAAGTGCTCCGAGCATATTCTTGCGTGTTTTGAGGGAGTTTCTTGCCTGTTTATCTTCGCAAGCCATAACCTCCGTGGTTGTTCTGACAAAAGCTTAGTCTTCTCACATTCATGAAGTCTAATGATGGGTATACTGTAAAATCCAAGTTTAACGGAACCTCCGGCACGATTTGAACATCCATTGACCCAGCAGGAGATGACCATTTTCAACTTTATCACGACATTAACACGTTTCAGCTTCTTTTTCTATTGTTTTGCCCACAGCATGCCAACACAAATGGCGCCGGGTCGGCAAATCCCCGTATGTAGTGACGTCATGTGGGAACTATGTATTGTTATTCACTGGTTTCATATTATTATTTTTTTTCCGCATCTTCAATTCGATTTTTGACCCTGAAGACATGCACGAAAGTCTGCACATGGGGGGTTTAAAACGACCGGTCCGGCGAAAAATTTGATAAAACGGACGTTTCCAGATTGTCCGACAAAAGGCGAATCAATAGCGCCCCCTTGAAAATTCAAAATTTGCCATTTCTATTGGAGGCAGGATTGCACATTTTGGAGTAGGTACACGAAATTCGGCTGAGTGATAGATCTCTATGAGACGAGCAAAAAAGCCGTTCTAAGCACATGTCTGGGACCAACAGGAAGTCGGCCGAAGTTTCGCCACTAATTTGACTTTTCATTTAGAAATTCGAACTAGTCCCTGGTTTTTCATCACACAGAGTTCTACCACGTCATTTCCCGCTCTGGACGGATTGAAGTTATATAATCATCGAAAAAAAGTTAGAAAATCTTCACCGTTTTCGTCCCTCGCCATGGCGAATAAGGCCTTCGTTTTGGTCATTTTCGCTGAGCCCTGAGGGCCACAGGCTCAGACCTACAGAGCTGAGACTCACATCAGTAATATTAGGTTAAGGCCTGAACGCAATGACACTAAAATCATTCGCCTAATTCGAGCTCTTTAGCGCCACCTGTTGAAAAGTAATAGGGAACTAGTGCTCGGATCGGCCCGAAAATCACTGAGTGTAATCTCTGGACCGAGACGAGTAAAAAATTACATTATGCAAAAGTTGTAAGTCCTACACCTGACCACTGGGGGCGCCGGAAAGTGAATGAATGAGCTTTTTGGGGCAAAATATTTGTCCGATGAGGCTAAAAATGAATTCAGAAATACAGCGCATGACCCTGAACACAACGATATACAACACTGCGATATACAGCGCTGTGAGTGCAACAGCGCCACTTACAGGCAGTTCAAGGTGTCGCATTTTTGGCTTCGTACTAGTCCCTGGATTTTCATCGCACAGAGTTCTACCATGTAATTTCCTAATCTGGATGGATTGAAGTTATATAATCATCGCAAAAAAGTAAGAAAATCTTCACCGTTTTCGTGCAAGTAAGCAGTTTATTTCATATAGTAATATTACACTCAGAGCTACAATACCCGACCTGACCACCAGGGGGGCACCTTTTGCCTTAATACAAATTATATTAAAACAGGCTGCTGAGTTTCAATATTGTATTGGCCAAATTAAACTTAAGAGTGTAACAGAGTTTCTTTACATGATGTTTGAAGGTCAGGTTTCGATCCAGGGTCACTCCTAAATATGAGAATACGTCAACATTTTTAATTTTACTGCCATTAATAAAATATCTGGACTACTGATATGCTTACCTTGGTTTGTAAAATACATTGAAACGGTTTTGTCTGTGTTTAATGTCAGACAGTTTTGACACAGCCAGTCAGCAACATTTTGCATTTCATTTGTTATTTTTGTGGTACACTGAAAACCTAGGACCCTATAAATTGACATGGTGAGTTACAGTGTAGTGTAGTGGTTAAAGCTCTGGACTGGGGCTTTGGCAACTGGGGTTTGATTCCCAGGGTCAGGCTCTACTGTTTTTGGGTTAGTTTGATGAAGACTGTTTTAGGCTCAGTTTAAAATTATTACTAGGGCCGGGACGCGATAAAAAAAAAAATCTAAATAATTAGAGGCTTTGTAATTAATCTCGATTAATCGCATTTCAGTCGCATATAAATATTTGACCTGAGAACAGTGAGAAGTAATTTTTTTCACATGGATCTTTAGTTTACCATTGATTAAGGGCTGCTCCTACTCCGCGTCCTCCTTCTCCGTTCACACTAGTGATGTGCTGAGCGTGCCGGGTCTTCGAAGCGTGTACCGAGTAAAAAAGGGAAGTATTATTTGAAGCGTGGTTCGAGGCGTGTGTTGGTGACGTATGTGGTGACGTTCGAAGCCTCGCGTAGCGGCCGCACCACGTGACGGTTCATATAGTGCTTCATATAGTTCGGAGAGTGCATTGCTTTGACAGGTGCTTTGTGATCCGCGGCTGTACCATAGACTGTATTGGCTGTCCCCGTCTGCCTCTGTGTGCGTACGTGTGTGTGTGTGCGTACCAGAGGTGTGGACTCGAGTCATGTGACTTGGACTCGAGTCAGACTCGAGTCATGATTTTGATGACTTTAGACTCGACTTGACCAAATATAAAAAGACTTGCAACTCGACTTGGACTTTAACATCAATGACTCTGACTTTCACTTGGACTTGCGCCAATTGACTTGCAAAGACTTGCGTAACCCGGGCCATTTTTACCTTTCTCCGCATCTCTCTTTCTATCTATGCCGTCTCTGAAGAAACAAAGCCTCGCGGCGGTAGTTGTAGCGCTCGCGCGAGAGTTCGAACGTGAGTTCCAGGCAGTTCGCGCAGCAACACTTCCCTAAACAAGCGGACTGCATT